TATGTTCTCAGATTTTTCCATCGAAGTTTTACCAAAATGAATATATCTTATATATACGGCCTGCTGAAAGTGGAAGCAAATCTTTTCTTCACAGTAACACAACTGCAGCATTTTAAGAAACACTGTCTGGTCCCTTCTTGAAAGATCAACAGTTCAACTCCCCTTAAAGGTTACCTATGCAGTCAAGTCCAGTGCCTCAGTGACCTTACAATGAAAAAGGGTTTTAAGACTTAGGAATGAGAAAAAGAGCTCCAGAAAAGTAAAAAGGGGGTTTAGATTGCAGTAAACTTTAAATTGCTATGACACAGTACAATGTAATGCTGTATACACTACAGAGTTGAAAAGATTAATGATCATCTTATTTTTTAACTGTTAAATTACAAATGGTTATTTTCTACATTGCATGAAATCTTCAGAGATTATGCAGTCATCCAAGATAACACCATTTTGGATATTACCTCTAGTATTTTCAGCCCAAATTGGCTCATGTTTATAAAGCATCTGAAAATATGCGTGAACCAGAAAAATATTAAAGATGATAGAGTTTATGCAAATCTAGAATAAGGTTGTTTAATGACCAACATACACAAGCTGAATTTAAATTTTTTTTGAAAGATCAGCATCAATGATGGCTCAGAGAATGATAAGGCAACAGTGAGATACATCAGCTGTATTTGTCTCCTAGGTGTTTGATTACACAGCATGTACCATCCAGCTGGTCCTTTGCTATAACAGAGGAAAGGGTAAGTGATATGTTCTAATGGCTGGTCTTACGACCAGAGGCACAGTTTCAGGTAAAGTGCAGTACCAGGGTAGAGGCATGTACACAGAACCAGAAGCTCTGTATCTTAAGAAGATCCTCAGCACTTCTTAAAGCATATCTGGACTGCCTCAGTCTAAACCTGTTTTCCCCCGCCCCCCAGTCTAGTAGAAACTCTCAGGCTCACTGAGAAGTATAGCATGCAGAGAGAATATGGTTAAGCAAAAAAAAAAAAAAAAAAGCATCAACAGTAGCTATAGAAGGAGATATGGTAGCATTAGCCAAAGGTATGTCAGAAGAAATTAATTTCTGGATTTTAATTTGCATACATACAGGTGTCAGAAAATCATCACTGTGCTTTAACTTCACACTAATTATCTGACTCTTACTATTAACTGTGGATGTACAAAGTCATAGGTGGTTATCTCCAGGCAAAGAAAAGATTTATAATAACTTCCAGTTTCCTAAGGATATCAACTCAAAACCATCTGATTTTGAGTTGCCCTTTCTTCACTCCATCATATGAAATAAACAATTCACTGAAACAAGGAACAGCACTATATAGCATATTAAAAGTTGTAATTCAATTCTAAACTAATTTTGTTTCAAGAAATTGTGATTGCCCCTAACTAGGCTTACTAGAATAGGAGACAGTGGTTCCCAAAGTCAGGATTGGGGATCACTGATTTGGGAGTATAACTCATTTCCACACACTGACACACAGTGGTGGGCCAATCAAAGCTGCAAGGCAAAGGAGTAATCCTGTTGCTAAGATAATGACCAGGTTTCCTGCCACCTGTTTCCACAAATGGAAAAAAGTTAAGAACAGGGGTACCTGTGTAGCAAAGGAAAGATAAAGCTAAGATGTCTATTTGTAAGACTTTACCCTTTTACAAATTAAAAAAAAAAACCATTATTCCCATTAAAATGTATTTCTACATTTTCTTAGAATATAAATTTTAGCCTCTCCATGAAATAACTAATACTAGAGAGCAAGAACAAGGCAAGTGAATTATCTGATGTTTAAATAATTTTGTATCTTAAGAGGGCTGATTTAAAACAAGTTATCCTTATTGCAATGTATCATGGCGTTACTGAAAAATTGCTGCAAGAGAACATTCCTTCATTATTCTTCTCTTTTCACAGTTCTGATATTTTAAATTTTATAAAGCATGATCACTGTGGTATCTTCACTTCATACTTAGAAAGAGAATACCACCTCTGGTATCCCTAAAAGGTCTTAGAATAAAAAAAAATACATTTTCTGGTGTGGTATAAAATACCCCATATACACCAAAAAAAAAAAAAAAGGAAAGAAATGCCATTAAACTTGATTTCCTTTAGCCATGATTAAGACTTTAAACATATGGTATGAAAATTTTCACCTTATTAGAAATTACTGTTTTAAATGTTTAGAGGAAACACTTTCTGTAACTGATTCTATATAATCAATAAAAGAGAGAGAAATAATTTCATCAATGACTCTCACTAATAACACATACACAAATTTGTGTTATTTCCAGAAATTATAAAATTACTTGCAGAAATGGTTTTATTTTCTATAGTCATATATTAGCACACCAAAAATAGCATTAAATTTATATACCCAAATCTGACCACATTTTCTGCCATTCCTTTACCAAAAATTATATTCAGGTGACTAGATATTAAGTATAAATTTCCTTCCAAAATCACATAACTCTATTTATGAAAAACTGAATATTGCCAATAAATCTCATATATTCATACTTTTAAATCAAATAAGATTATGCTGTGGACACTCTTAGAATTGAGTTCATATATTAAATGATCTTTACTTATATGTGCATATTTTCATAAGATAATTAGAGCTACATGTAAGCCAGAGACCAGTCACAGATGGTGACTTTTTCTTCAGACAGTCAAATAAGCCTTACTGAGGGGTAGAGGCACATTCAAGATCAGAATATTAAGTTTTTGAAGTAAAAGATCCAAGAAATATCTGAAAGTACCAAGCTTGAGTCCTTTCTAGTGCACTGTTCAAAATTAGCTTAATCTTAGCCTGTTAACTTTATTCCAACTACATCTAATAGTTACCAATTCTTCAGAACTCAGATGCTGTGTGCCATTTGTGTGGATGTGTGTTTAGGGAGGGTGGGGAGAAGAGAGCAAAGAAATGAATAGTGAAACACAATGAAAACCATCCTTGAAATTGGGAGGTAGGACCTTTCAAGTACAAAGAAAAACTTGAATGTTAAAGCTTAAAACTCAAGATAAGTAAAAAATTAGTCATAAAAAAAGTAGTCATAAAGCCCACTTTTTTTCTCAATAAAATTCTAACTACCATGTGTATCTGTCGTCTTGTTAAAGGATTTACTCAGAAGCTCTCCTGTTCTTCCCCATGACTAGAAATGCAGAAGTTTTTCTTGTTTACAAATTTTTTGTGCCCAGAAGGCTTGTCAGTTGGCAGCAGGATAGGAAAATTTGGTAAAAACAGTTGAAGAGGCACACATGACCCTTTGCTGAGTCTTTAGAAGAGGTATTTGCTGGAGTTAACTGCTCTGCCCAAGTTCTTTTGGGGGAAGAAATGACATGCTGGTCCTTGGGTTTATTTCATTAGCAAAGCAGACAGAACCAGTTAGAAGCATCTCTCCAAGTCATCTCATTTTTGGCAGAATATAACAACAAGTAATGGGTTTAAGAATATAAGGACATCTTAGCTCTGTAAAATATGCTGCTTATGAGAGGGGAGGAGGTGGAGAGTGGGAGAGCAGGGTAGAGTAAATTTGCGAGAGGGTAGTGGCACTAGAACTTTGGTGGGGGGTGAGTGAAGCACGTACTCATGCCAAGTGTGAAGCTATCCTCCTGCAATTATATAGTTTTATATATATGAACAGCAATCAGTAGAATTTTATTTTAAAAAGGGCTACAAGAATTATGGTTAGTTTCTTAGTTTTTTCTTTTTAAGATCTCAAAACTCAGTGTGAATGTATGTGTGTATATATGTATATATCTATGCACAGACATATATGAATATGTATTTTAAATTCATTATTAACTTCAATGGGGCTTTTCAAAGCCTGTATGTCAGGTTTTTCTTTCTTCAATAGGTTTCAAGTCCCAATTTCCCATTTTCAGATGGCAGGGCTGTTCTTAAAGGACAAATTTATGCTTTTAAATCTAGTCTGTATTCACACATTCACACATGATCAACGTATATAAAGACAATTTTTTAAGCACCATTTCACATCTACCATCAGGAAAAATAGTGAACAAATTCATCTTCTCATTATCTATTCTACTATGAAGATAATAATGCAACATACAATGCCAAATATAAATATCAGCAAATTAAAATACTGCTAGCGCTTAAGACTATGTTCGGAAATATTTAAAATGTAGGGCTCAAGTAACTGTGCAGATCCAAATACCTTATCCACTGATTGATCTTAATGATTAAACAAATGTGAAAGAATTTATTTCAGGAGCAAATAAATAGAATGAAAAGAGAATACTAAATCAAAAATTAATGAAACCATAATCTCCAACTGAACCCATGTAGAACTCTGCATTTCAACTGTTTTTACCTTTATAAAATGGCCTGACGCAAAATGTAAGTACAAAAATGGAAAACATCTATGTACTTCATTTTTTAGCTTTCTATTTTTAAGGCTAACTGTTTAAGGAAGACCTTTGCTTTAAAGGACATTGGCACATGAAAGGATAACATGGCTCCCTAATATGAAGAACAAAACATGAAATTTAGATAATTTATGAGTTGTTTCATTAAGAAAGAAGCCACTACCTAAATCAAACCTTGGGAGCAAAGGCTGGTTAAGCTACGCGTTTATCTGCTTACTGCTTAACTTTCTTACCCATGGACATTCAACTCAACATGAATTCAACACTTGACATATGTAAAAAACTGGTTATGAGCCATCATGTTACATTGAACTGTATTTTTGGAAAGCAACTTAGCTATCTCAGCTACCTACTTTACAAATTATCAACAACGACATTTAAAAATGTAGCTTCATGCCTAACTACCCAGCGCACACCAAGATAATCTCCCCAAACTTCCAACTGATTAATATTTAGGGAATATAAATTACAAATCAAATTTGAAAATGCAAATCTGTTGCAAACTTAAAAGAGCACACAAAGCAGCTAAAAATTAATAATTTGTTTTTGAGAATTCAGTATTTGGTCATCTTTGACCAAAAATTAATTATACAAACATAGAGACGTCCATACACCCAACTTCTCTCTTCATGTACACGTATGCATGCATGCACACACAAAAATGCATTTTTATCTCACCCATTACATTTATGTTTAGTCTATTGGTATTTAGACAGCTGAACTGCAATCATGACCTAAAATATGGCTTATGTTGTGGGCAGGTCTGTTTGAGGACTGCTTGGAAGAGTCAGAAGCAGAGGAGTTTGCTATTGTAAGCAAAGGTGACATTGCTGAGCCATCAGGAAGAGCTGTAGCTATTTCTGGAAACAAAGATGTCATATTAAAATTAGATAAGTGAGAGTTAGTCATGTGCATTGGTGGCATATCAGGGAGAAGAGGAAAACTTGGTTGTGCAAAACCAACAGGTCTGGGAGGTGATAAAATTGATCCAAATCGGTTATTTAAACTTCCACTGTTCACCTTCTCTGTACTAGGATTTGAGAACATTTGATTGGAAAAATAGGGAATTGAAATATCGTTGGACAATGTAGGATGAGCAGGAGAATATGGGGGATAGAAAGAGGGTAGAGAATTTTGGGGATCTACAGGGATGAGGGCTGGAGTTCGGGTGGCACTAGGCTGAGTAACCTGTGGAATGAAAGAAGTATTAGCATTTATTGGTGGATTCATGCCACCCTCAGGAATAAAAGGAAAGCCAAAATTTTGTGACAGTGTATGCTGCTCGGGCGCTGAATTATCATTAGGTACTTGTGGGCTATCTGGCATGAAACGGACAATACTTCCTCTCTTCTCTGTGGGGGCTTGTTGGCGTCCAAGAATCATACTACCACTTGTAGACAGAGGGAGGTGGGGAAGACTTGGATCAAAGACATTACTATGTCTTTGGTTTCCAGAACGATTCCTTTCAGGCTGACGGATTTTGGAACCACTGCTGTCTTGCAAGGGATGCCTCGATCGCTGGGGAACCGAAGAACTTGTCTGACGTACAGGAGGCCCTGGATCAGCATTTCCATGTGACACAGATGGATGTGGCAAAGCTGGTCTGGCAACCCCATGCATGTTGGTTGTGGCTGGAGGGTTCATATGGCCCTTGGTACCATGACTGTCGGTAATCCGCATGGGATTGGATTTCTGTATGGAAACATTGGGGCTTGTGTTTCGACCTTGAATATCTCCTGAGGAAGAAGAACTCGAAAAAGGAATATTCAAGGAGCTGGTCCTGGTGTTAATCGCACCTAAATTCATGTCACAGCTTTCCCTGTTCTGATTCTCACTCTCTCTTCTAATATGTACACTTTCATGAGGTGGAGGACAACTGTATTCAATTGCAGGGGATGGCCCACACTGTGTATTCCTCTGATGTTCTGAGAGTGACCTCTGGCTCCCAATGACTTGATCACCAAGGTGCGGCGCAAGTAAACTCTGCATGAAACTTTGGTGACATGTGTTTTCACTGTCCCTCGGTGGGATAGCATTTCCTGTTGGTAAGCTCTGAACTGGGGGATAAGGTAATCTCTTCTGACGGTCGATGGGTGTGGGACCAGGGTTTTGACTAATTCGAAAAGCCTGGGACTGCATGCTCCTCAGTGATGGTACGGCATTGCCTATTTCATTATTTCTTGAGGATTGTACTTCAAAATTACTCTGAGACTGCTGACTGGCTCCACTTGGCTTAAATGTCTGACAATCAGAAAGACGAATATCAGAAACAACCGTGTGGTCCACACGGGCTTGCATATTATGAATGGCCAGACTCTTGTTCCTGGGGACCTCGAGATAGCTTCTCATTTCAAGTTGATCTGTCACTCTGGAACCCTGAATCGATAAACCCATTCTCTGCTCTGAATTAGAGGATGTCTTTCCAATCAGTGCCTCAGCAGAGTAACTTGAAACGCGATTTCTCTCTGGCCTGTGTGGAGTGCAGGTCATATCTGAAGGTCTGGTCACAATAGTTGGCTGGGACACCATTTGCTGCTCTATGCCCCTTGATGTCAAAAGTCTCTGCAGTGGGTTATGTCCAGACACATGTTCAGAAGATACCCCTGAACCTTGCTGCCTGCTACCAATGTCCTGCTGCTGGTGCATAATGTCTTGACTGAGATGGTTCTGGGGATGGGGATGGTGGTTCCGGCTAGTTGAAGGGTTTTCACAGCTCTTCTCTGGCTGGGAGCTTCCAAAGTGTTGCTGCATCTGCTGCTGCATCTGCTGATGGTGGGGATGTGGCTGGCCACTCTTGGGTCGGGATTGGTCAGTTCCATGGTGCTTCGGCTGTAAGGAAAGCTGAGAGGCTGGAGTGCCCTGAACAAGACTCCTCTTTTTCTGCATCTGCACTTCCTGTTGCAGATTCCTCTGTTGGTGGACATTATGGGACTGAGAGTGGACAGAGCTCTCTGCATGAGGTACGTGATGCTGCAGTTGATATAAGTGATGCCTCTCCCGTAACTGCCCTGCTTGTTGTTGTTGCTGCTGCTGCTGCTGCTGCTGTTGCTGCTGCTGCTGCTTTAAGTAAAGATGGTTACTGTGAAGGTGAGATACTCCTTGAGCTGGAACATGCTGTTGCAGGGCCTGCAGGTGTTGACTGGCCTGGTTTTGCTGCTGCTCAGCAACAGAAGGCTGAGAACTGCATTGAACTTCAGTTTGCCTCAGAGCAGGGGCCACAAAGTTGTTACTGGGGGGAAATAAGCGTGTCAGGCCATCTCCATGTGCTGGGTTGCTAATAGGCCCAGCTGAGTTTGAAGAGTTTGGAGGGATCTGACTAACCAACATTTGAGTTTGATCAGAAATGCTATCTGGAGTTTGGTTCATCAAGGGCATATTTTCCAGGCGGAGTGGGGCTGGCTGACAGTGCTTCTGACGTTTAGCTGAAGACAGTAAAAGGTCCTCTTGGACAGCACGCTTGGTGGAGTCTTTACGACTTTCATGACTTGGCTTTAAGAGTGGTTCCTGAATCTGTGAATTTGGTATCGTCCCAGTCATAGTGTTTAGCTGTTCTTGGGAATAATCTGTCATCAGAGATGGTCCAGGAGGCTGACTGGCATAGGAGTTAGATGAAACAGTCAGATTAACTGTTGCAGGAACAACTGTTTGCTCTGAAGTTTGGGATAAACCAGCACAGCTGACCAGAGGATGGCTGATGCTATTCTGATGGATAAGATTATTGACACTTAAACTGGTGATGCTTGGTGGTTGAGAAGTCGAAACCTGTAAAGAGGCATTTGATGTTTTAATTCCAATAGAACAACTTGGTTTCTCCAGGGGCCTCTCTGCAGCTGCTTCAACTGAATCCTGTGAATTAAATTCATTTGATGTTGCTTCTGCCTGCCCTGGGCCATTCTCTTTAGATATCTGGTCTAAAGAAGTCTGGTCACCCTCTAAAGATGATGCTTCAGTAGGCTTGGCAGTAACTTCCCTTATATCAGCCTGGATGCCAGCTCTTCCCTTCTCAAGGTTCTCCTGGTCAAAAATAGCTCTTGCTGCAAGAGCAACTATATCAGTTTGTTCTACAAAGGTACAGCTGTCACACGTATTAGTTGTTGCGCTGCTGGTCACATCCTCTCTGGTTGTTTCAGGAAGCATGGATGCAACAGAGAAACTCCGACTACTGCCAGAGCTGGTTGACATGGGAGAGTCAGCCTGCCTACTGGTGAGCAAAGAACCACTAATAATCTCCTGGTCAGGAATGCAGGAATGATGTTGCCCCAAGTCTCTATCATCACTGCTCATCAGTAATAGCTCCCGTTTTGGATGTAAGTCAACACTCGAATCAGCTATTTTAGAATTTTCTGAAGAAAATTCAGGATGGTCCACCTGGACTGAAAGAGATGATTTCTGAGGCTCTTTTTCTTTAGACAGGCCAGAGAGCAAAGCACTTAGGCCCTGTCCCTTTAAGAGGCTTGTAGTTTGCATTGCATTTGATGAGTCTTGTTCAACCATGCGAGGCTCGGCAATGATTTCTACCTCAGAAACACAGTCAGTGCTTGTAGTGCTTGTGGTAGATGACAAACCAGAAACCTGAGAAGCCAAAACATGGGGCTCACTTGGAGATGGAACCAACACATTGGCAGAAGTGCAGGATTTGGCGGTATCTGAGAATGCCAAATCAGTTGGGGGCTTATCCTGAGATGTCTCTCGTTGCAAAGTAGGATCAGAATCTTTGGATTTTTCTGAGGCTGCTGCAAAATGTTCACTTGATACAGCTTCTTGGGAGGGTGAGCTAGACTCTTGTGCTGATTTTGATTTGGATACAGACTCAGGTATCACCGATTCGGAATTCAGAACACCCAAAGAATGTGAACCAGAAGCACTTACACCATTTGCCTGAGATATTGTGGCAGATGGTAACACAGCGGGGAGGCTTTCCAGCAGTCCTTCATTACATGCCGGCTCTGCTGAGCCTTCTGTGCTGGGGCAGTCTAACTTGCCCACCTCTCTGACTGGAGTCAGGGGGCTTGTTGACTTATTTGCCACTAAGTGTTTCTTGGCACCTGGCTTCTTATTCAATCTTTTAGGTTTTGTGTTAGACAAAGGAGCTACAGTGTTCACTGAGGAAGTAGTCACAAGGTTGTAATTACTAGGTAGTGTGGCTGAATTATCTGCTGTCATGGGAGATGCTACAGTTGTTGTCAATGAAACACAGTTAACTGGGGTGGTCTGACTATTTGCGGCAGTGTGAGGATTGGCAGGCTGGCTAATAGACAGTTGTACACAGCTTTGCCCAGCCATCTGTGATATGCTTTGATTGAGGCTGGCCAATGCACCAAATGTATTTAGGGCAACATTGGTATTTGGATCTTCGCTGGTGGTGGGCTGAATAATTTGCATAGGAGTTTGATTTGTAGTTCCTGATGAAGACATCACAGGCTGCAAAGCAAAGAGCTGTCCATTCAAAGATATGGTTTGAGGCTGTTGTTGGTTTGACATGGTAACAGAAAAGGTTTGGGTTGAATTAGACGTTGATAAGGATGAAGGTCTTGGTAATATGTGGACAAGATGCTTTCCTCCAAAAGTTTGTGGGGTCGAAACACTTTGCACTGAATTATTACACCCTATTATAGCATTGGCTCCATTGACAGGGAGTCGAACAGATGCAGGAGGCGGAGCAGAGAGGATTGGCAAAGGATTCTGATTAGCTGCTTGTATGATTACTATTTGTTGACCTACTGTTTGGTTGGGCACCTCTGCCCTCATCACTGTTGGGCACGGGGTGGTGCTGGGTGGCTGAAGAATAATAACATTTTGATTAGCTGGAGCTGCATTCACAGCTGGCCCAACTGGCTGAGCCATCTGAATTACCTGCATTGCTGAATTCAATGGAAGGATATTTTTCGGAGGCTGAGATTTAACTTGTGGCTGGGCAATTAGTGGCTGCATAGGTAAAGGTGGACAGGAAGGCAAGGTTACAACTACTTGCTCAACTGATTGCCCATCTGCTGGAAAGGAATTATTCAAGGTGACACTTGTAGCCACATGTCGACTGTGGTTGCTTGTGGTGGGACTAGTCCCAGACTCGTTTAATACTGGAGTCACAGCTGAAGATGATGTCTGGCTTAAGGGCTGAATAGTGTTTCCTGCCAGTTGCAAAGTAGTCCATGTTGTCTGTGTGTTGCCAGCTGACGAAATTCGAGTAAGGCTATTAATGTTTTTCAGTTCTGAAGCACTAACAGCTGAAGAAGGCAAAGAACATGAGAGGGTCCAACCACTGTCCAAAGGGTTTGCAGAAAGAGTGCTTACAGGAGTGGTGACCTTTCCTCCTCCGGGGGCAGATGGCACCACTGTGGTAACACTTGTAGAGTCTACCCCCTTGCTACTGTTTGCTGGACAAGAATTGCCTGCAGATCTGGGAGGCTGGGAGCAGACTGTGGAGGTGACTGAAACAACAAAAGTGGTTTGAAAATCACTTCTGAGGTCCTGGGCACTCAGGCAGGGCTTGCCTTTAGTGGTGGTTACTGAGGAGCTGGAGGCAGTGCTTGTGGCACCAGGAATTGTCTTCTGCAATAATTTGGGACTCTCTTGCCCATTCTTATTTTCAGGGGAATTTTGATCATTTGGAGATGTATGCAAGGAGCGATGTTGGTGAGTCTCAGGCCCAACAGGAACAGCAATCAGTGAGCCACTGGTGGCACCAAGCAGACTCGATTCACTTTCAGAGGTGGAAAGTTCAAGAATATTCTGAGTAGAAATGGTAGCAGGAAGACAAAGAGGAACAGGCTGGTTGGCAGCCAATGCAGAAACTGTGGTCTGGTGCCATGGCTTGTTTTCAGAAGGGTAAACTCCAGAAATAGACACAGGAGTCACAAGATTGCAAGTCCTCTGTACAGGCACCACATTGGCAGTTTGCTTTTGTAAATTATGACCAACATTAAAGGTGATCCCCTGAACAGCTGTTCCCTGGCCATTTCCACCAGGCTGACTCCCATTGGAATAAACAATGATATTTTTTTGAACCTGGTCACTGGGAATAACAACAGAGACCTTTGAGTTTTTAAGATTTCCTTTCCAGTGGATTGTGGGGTCATCATAGAGGCATATGTCATTTGCTTTCAATAATTCAATATATCGGCCATTTTCCTTTTGAATTTCTTCCAGTTGTTTACGAAGCTTTTTAATTTCTTCCGCTATAACAGAAAAATAAAAAAAGTACCTGTAAATGTCAGTATTTATAACTTAAAAAAAGAGCTGTGTATCAAAATATCGATATCTAGCCTTCTAAATATCTCAACTGATGATCTAGCTCTTTTCTAACATAAGTTCTTTCTCCTTTTTAGAGTGGTGTCTCAGAACTTTATCCCATTTTTTTTAAGTATATAACATTAAAGACCAATAGTCTAAAGGGCTACGGAGTGATGAGATCTCTTTTACTCCCTGCCCTTTCAAAGGCAGACAGTGTCCCACTGAGCCCATCCATGGGCAGCCTGGTGGCTGAGACCACATCCCTACTTCCTTGCCACAGTGGTAGTTACTGCCCCCTTTCCTCTGCCAAAAGCAGTTAATCCTCTAGGTCAAAGCCCTAGAAGTCAGCCTGCAATGACAAGTTCTGTTCCAACAAGGATGAGCTAAAACTAGCAGAGTGCTTTTCTCAGATATTTAAATGAAGAAGAGAGATAACAACATGCCATACATATTAGAAATTAAGGCAGTTACTAAGGGTCACATAATAAGGAAGCTTGTTCTCACTGATTACACATTTATTACATGCCTGGTGCTTTTCACTCTTTGTAACATCTACTACTACTACTATTTCTAAAGACAGTAACAATAATAGCAGGTATGTAGGGAGCATTTACTGTGTGCCAGGCTTTACTCTAAGCACTTCGCCTGCATGTCTTATTTAATCCATTTAACCATGAGATAGGAATTATTGTCATCACCACTTCGGCATGTGAGACACAGGTTCAGAGATGTTAAATAAATTTGTCTAAAGTCAACCAGATGGATACCATAAACATTATCTTTTTAAGACAGGGAAACTAAGAAGTGGAGAGGTAAAAAAACTGGATAAAGGTTTGAGTAAGTAAGGAAAAGCTGAGACTTCAACCTAAATGAGCCTGCCAAAGCCAATGCCACTGCTCTGGCCATCCTATTAGGCTACCATGTGGACCATGAGGAAGCTTAAAATAGCAATGTAGGGCCCTCCCTGGTGGCACAAAGGGTTAGGACACAGCACTGCAAGCCAGCCACAGCTGCTTCAGTGCGAGTTTGAGCCCCTGCCCTGGAGATAATCCACATGGCGCGGCAGACCTCTCCTGACCCGCCCATTGCTCCCTTCAGCAGTGTACTTCGTTGATCTGCCTGTTCTGCTCCCCACTCTGTCTCTGGTGAATCCTCTCACCACCGCTACACCTCTGTTCTGTACCCCAGTTCCATACGTATAAATAAATAAATCTTAAAAAAAAAAATAGCAATATATTCAGATTCAAGCTTTCTAAGTACTGCCCCAACCCAGGGCTGACTGTTTCACTTTTCCTAAAACCCATGCAACTTACACTTTTTTAATAGTTTCCCTTTTACCTAAGGTAACTTGATTGTGTCAGCCTCATCAGAACAGTCCACACCATTCTGACTTAACATCCCTTCTACAAGGGCATCAAAATGGTTACCAAACGTGCTATGTATCTTAAGTATCATAAAAAAAGGCTCTGGACCATAAATGACAGCTGAGCAAGGTAAGGGCTAAGCTGACATCTAACTAAAAGCAAACAAGAATTCTGAAGCCTCACCTTCCAGATGTGTTTTCCAATATCCTTCCCACTTCTTATGATAAAAAGAGCCCAACCTCAGCAAGTTCTACCTTTGTTTCTTTCCTTTAACTTTCATTTTTTCATTCCTCCCATTTCTTTCCTTTCGAAGTTATCTACAGAGTTGTCACAGGAAATTTCCTCTCTGCTCTTGTAAGAGGACAATTCAAATGGGTTACCACTATAAGTTTTCCACTGGCCTGCAATATTTTTCTCTTTAGCTTTTATAAGGAAATCTCTTCTTCAGTGAAAGCACAAAAAACAGAACACAGTGGAGAACAGGAAAAAACACCTCTATCAAAAGGCTAAATGATCAGGCCATCTGATACACACATGATATGTAGAATAAACAAGCGTGAATGGCCTGTTTTAGCCTTTTCAGTAATTTCACAGTTAAGTCTTGGCACAGACATAGCCTTGTGTTGTTTTTGAGTTACAGTGACCAGGACATTTTGATACTGCTTGCTCTTATGGGATTCCCCAGAAAAATCCAACTAAAATAAAGGAGACTCAGCATTATTTGTACCATGAGGTAAGCAACCATGAAATGCACAGCTGAGCCCCAAATCAGAGTGATGCATGACTACAAGATCAGAGTTGCTCACAGAGGAGGAAGGAGGTACATGTGAAGTGATAGTTTGATTCACTGTTCTGTCAGACCTATTGAAAGCATGGTCCTAACACAGTTTTCTGTTCCATGAAAAAAAATCTGTTTTCTTTTTTAATTTTATGGAAGTAATATCAACAAAGCTTTTAGGAAAAAAAAAGTGAAAATCTTAAATCTTTACCTTGTTCATTGTTTCCTCCATTAAGTAGGAGCTCATCATTTTGCCTTTTCAATTCTGTGATATATTTAAAAGCTTGGTCCAGAATCATATTCTTGCTCTGCCAAAGGAAATTAACCATTTAAAAGTATCACTGAACAGTAAGAACTTGCCTAAAGAAAATGGGAGCTTCAGCTTTATCATGTATTTGTATCTTTAAAATTTAAAACAGACACTGTGACCAAAAGCTTCTGCTGCTCATTTTTCATTTGCTAAACATTTATTGAACATTTATTATGTATCAGGCTCTAGTTCTAGACACTGAAGATTTAGCAAATAAACTAAGATTCTGCTTTTGTGGAATGAATACACATACACACACACACACACACATATATATAAATATAGGTATAGATATAGATATATAGATGGTGATGAGTGACAAGAAAAATAAGGCCAATTAAGGAGGGGCTAGAGAAATGACAGGTGACCAGGTGACTCTAGACTACGAACTGAATGTCTGTGACACCTAAAATTTATGCTGAAACCCTACTCCCTCACGTGATAATATTTGGAGGTGGGTCCTTTGGGAGGTAATTAGGTTGTGAGGGTAGATCTCTCATGAATGAGGTTAGTGCTTGTGTAAGAAAAGGCATGAAAGGAGTGATAGTTCTGGGTGAAATCAGCCACATGTTTACTCTATCACATCTTCTAGGACACCTAGGGAGCGAAATGATTATGGGTTCCTTTCAAAGAAACTTGTGAGAAAAAGTCCCAAAGCAGGAAATTTAAGTTTGACTGGACAAATACCAATTATTTACTGAGCAGCAACTATATGTTGGGATATAGAAAAAGAAAAACAAATCAGAAGATTTTGTGATTGAACTTAGGATTGCTATTGAGCTAAGGAAATAGTCCACTTAAGAAAAAAACAAATGCATGTAAGACTAAGTACCACTCATAGGGGAGAATGAAAAGAAAGTAAAGCCCAAGTCTGTGCCATTCCCTTCCCAATATGCCCAGGGAAATAGCACTGAGAGGTAAGGACATTTGATCTGGCCCTCCAGAGGCTCAGGACTGGGAAGCACCAGCTACCACAGAGGACAGGATGAGGTATCGGGTTAAAATCAAGAGGAAGGTAGGAACGACTTCATATGAAGCCATGAGAACCAAGTCCCATGCATACATCCTATACAGTGGGATGCCTTCCTCTTCTTAACCCAACAGCAATATCCTTTCTGTGAAAAATGAAACTGAGAGTTTCAGCCAGAAGTGGGCAAGATAAGGCTTCCAGGTAAATACAAAGGGTCAAGTAAAATTCTACTGACTAAAGCATGAGCCTCTCCAGCACCGCCTTCTCCAGCTGAGCTACCAAAATAATGGTGATCTGACTTAGGCTTAGAGACCTCTTCCACCATTCCCACTCCCACATAGGAGGCTCAGGGACTTTTCTCTGGAAAATAAGAATAACTATCCCCAAAAGAAAAAAGCCATAAATACTGCTATTTTTTAGTTCCAAAAGAACAACACAAGCTTACTACCTAACCATCAGGGCCACCAGAAGACAAGTCTACACAATTATCTTTATAATGCCTCATTCTCACATATGAAAAAGAAGCTAAATATCATTTAGATTTTAGGAATACTTCCAAAAAAAGAGAAAATATCAAAACACGGGGAAGGCATGGGGGGGGGGAGGCAGTCAAACAAGCAAAGATAACAGAGAAAACAGAAGACAACTAAAAAGATAACTAAAAATATATAATACTCTCAGAGATATGATGATATTATATCCATGAAACATGTATTATAAGGAACAAATAAAGAACAAGAAAAAAGACCCTTGAAAACTTAAAACATGAGACCTGTCATTAAAAACAGAAGAGCAGGAAGAGACCAAACAGTAAGATCAAAAAAGAAATACAGTCTCAAATAGAAACTCAGGGAAAACAAAAATTATGTAGTACATTGACAATGTAGAAACTACAAACAGATTGTTGGTCTGAATTAAATATAGGTATATAGAAAATAAAGCAAATAAAAAGCTATCAGGCAATTATTCATTCCAAAAACCAAAAGTTACACATAAAATGAAGCACATTAATAGTAGACTGCTTGGCTCAAACATTAACAATATTTATACATAAACAATATTTAATAACAGCAGCAACAACAAAATTAAATACTAATTTAATCAACTATTACAAATAGTAATAATAGAAGTATTTTGGGAAAATTAGACAAGGGGAAACAGTAGAAAAGAAAGTCAACAGATAAAATCTAAAATGAAAAAATTTAGATACTCTAATATAAGCATGTTATTTCAAAATCCAGAGGTAAATTACAGAAGAAGCAGCTGGGAATGATTGATTCTATAATGGATGCTCAACGTGAACTGGGAAGCAGGTAACAAAAGGGAATGGTTTTAAGTTTTTGTGTATTTGTTATATGCATATATTCATTTTTTTACATACATGAATTTAAGAAAACACAAACTATAATATCCCATTAAAATGGAATACTGCTTACTCATTAAAAATGAAGAAGATAATATGAGTGAAAATGAAAAGGCATATTAAGAAACAACACTAAGCAGCTATACAGACATAGTCACAAAGCAATTCTAAAGAGATGGATAACACTTTAATAGTGGCTACAACTTGGGAGTGGGATGCCTGGTTGTTTTTTACCTTTTTTATGTCTTCCATATTGTTTCAATATATTTTTATTCTGCAAATATGCTTTATCTTTATGAAGGAACCAAAATCTATCTTCATTAGAGAAAATGGTCAGAGTTTAATAAGATGAGATTTAAGTAGTGTGGACATTGATAGGGCATGGAAAATAACATAAAGAAGAGTTCCATGGAAGATTCCAAGTAAAACTTAAAGAAATTAAAGAACATGAATTGGTAGAAAAATAAAAGAAATACCTGGTAAATAGATTGGCACATATATGGATATAATCATAGGACTGGTTAATTTAAACTCTGAATTAAAATAAAAATTTAGAAATTACATGATGCTTTTGATTATGTAAGAAACTGTACTAGAATACTAGGAGTGTAGGAAGAGTTAAAATATAGTAAATAGAAAACTAAGAAAATGAAAAACAATGAGGCAAAAAACCATAAATGACAAGGAAAACAATCATTCTGAACACAGACACAACTAGGGAATTATCTGGTCACATGTAATGAACGAAATAAGAATGGACTCTTTACCTGCTTCAGTGCGGGTGAGCATGGGATCAGCTCTCCTATTCTGTTTATCCCAGCATTGATTTTCTTCTTTCTATGCCTCTCCACTAAATAGAGGAAAATTCATTTATCAAACCTTCTAATACTTCTGCCAGAGTGCCTTATTCTCCCTATAAAAAAATTTAGGTGGAGAAGTCCCTAAAATAAATCTTACCAACAATATGTACTGAAGACAACTCTAAAAAAAATTCTGAGCTGTCATATTTCAAGGTTATAAGGAAATTGATATAAGTAACATTAACATTTTAAAGGGTAAGGTCTATAATAATTATATTCAGATTATAAATAGAAATTGCAACACTAATGCCTCCTACCTGTAGTGAAAGGAACTTGAAAGGTAGTAAGCATCTTATTCTGAGGAGCAGCAATACCCTACCAGGGTTTGATACATCTTTCCATAGATAAAATTCCTCCTAAGTTCCTTTCTTTAAGGAAAAGGACATATCAATTTTGTAGTAGCACAAATACGCTTCTAAATACTTTTTTCAAGACCAAGTCCCTGATAAAAAATAAAATGTCATAAAACATTCCAACCTGTAAATATATGCACAGTCGTTTCTATAAATGCTTATCCAGCTTTGGACCATACTTTTGGTCTTTCAGATAAAAATCAAATACTTATTTTCTACATTTATTCCAGTAATTCAGGATTCAGAAACCTAATTTAAGTCTGTTGACATTTAAAGTACCTCTAAGTTCTACAGTCCGTTCTCTGCTCTCCTATTGCTTCAGGTGGCTCTGCACATGCACTCTTTATTCTACTTAGGAGAAATACAGCAGTACTGCCTCAGTGGGAAATCGCTTAAAATATTATCTAAATTCATTATCTAAACAGATGATGAGTTAGTAGATACTAAACAAGTCATTTTCATGAGGCTAGGGGGTGTTTGTTGATTAAAAACAAAGGAACAGTTTCCTAAGATATAATGAATAGTGATATAACACAAAATTTATAATCAAATACAATATGATTTCATTGGGAATGCAAAAAATGCCAACAAACAAAATTTAAATTGTTTCTACCTGCATTGTGTGTCTCCCGGTTTTTCTTTCTGAAACAAAGCATAGATAAAAGAAAAATGAAAATAATGGGAAAATAAGTTTACCTCTTTATATTTTGAGAGCCATAAAGGTAAATTTTATGAATTTGAATAAACTGCATCAATAAGAAACCATATGAAGAAATATTTTCTAAATATATATTATGGTATGAAAACCTAAGCACAGATATATCTAAACTTAGAATCCATAACTTCTAAAAGGAACAGTTCTCTCTTCTTCTAGACCCTGAGGTCATTGATTGGGAAGTAATTACACACTGGAAACCTTAGCTATTTGGAAATTCTGATTTAGGAGCTAATCAGAGCTCGGTGATATGTAAGTAGATTTGTGCTGACCCCTGCCAAGGCCAGGGCTGAATGTGCAAGGAAGACATGCAAAGTAAAGAAGCGTGCAAGTCATTCCCGGAGGGAAGTGCTGCCGCCACGAGCACCTGTGTACTGACAGTTGATATCTGACACAATTTTTACAATTGTGTGCCTGAGGTTATCCAAACTCTCACGTTTTCTCAAAAGCAAATCTACTACCCAACGGGATTACAAGATGGAAAAAAACCACAAAATTATGTGAAAACAATCTATTATAGTGTTTTTTTAAAAAAAGCAAATATACTAAAAATATTGATTTTTCCCTTTTATGTAAAATACATTAGCATTTTCTAATAGCTCGTTGGTAACAAAAGAAAGTGGTGAAATTTATATTAATGGAAACACTGGCCATGCAATTCTAAGCAAGAGACATTGCCTAAAATGCCAGAACCAGAAATAATTTGTACTAATACATGTATTGGTACTAATAGATTGTGACTGCACAAAATGTCTTACTCAAACTAACTTCAACCTAAGTGAACTTAGTCCCTAAAAAGACTAATGTTATAGACAATTAAAATCTTTAGGAAAAACAAAGCATTTAGCAGAGATTTGGTATTATACTATTTTAACTACTGACAGTCATTCTTATTGCACTGCTAGTAGACTGAGGAAGACAGGGAAATTTTAACTATACATCCTTTTCAGTAAGTCTCTTTCTATTTATCCACTTATTTTTGTAAAGTAGTGGGTTCCTTGGCATCCAAGTGAAAGTCCTCTAAGATCTCCTTTTTTAGCAAATTAAAATTTTTGCTTCTTATCTTCCCAAACTGTGTTGTATTTCTACTGTGGCTACATACCTGTGCTGTTTTTTTGTAGGAGTCTCATTCTCCGTCATTTCTGGCATGTTTACAGTGATAGGAACCTTCAAGACATGGAAAGACCATCAGAAAGTCTAAAGTCATTCTAATGTCTTAAGAAACTGATTAATAGCAATTCAGTCTAAGTACCAAAACACTAAAAAAATAAAAGGCATTATGAAAAAGTAGTGGATGAGGTGTTGTAGACAGAAAAAGATCTGAGGAAACAGTAAAAAACAGTGTAACTAACAGGTGGAGTACTCATAAATGTCAAATGTGAAGCACTGGAGAAGAAAGGAGCAGAGAAAGATCATTATGAGCTTAGAAACCAAGAAAACCGTAAAGGGGAGTGCATATGAGCAAGACCTGAAAGAACAAGTAAGATATACCTGAATTGGGAGCGTGTCTCTTTGCTCATGATATTGTTTGAAGCATAACACAAAACTGAAACTAGAATAATGATTGCCCTTTCTGAACTCAGAAAAAACAAAAGTGGAAAGCAAGTAAACACTGAGAAGCATTCATTCCCACACACATTTGCCAGGCTTCATTCATTTCAGATCGCTGTAAGTTTCACATTATCATTTGCTAATCATTAACATCTGGGTGTAAGTCTGAAAATTCTGTTTATATGTAAAATATCAGGATACCAAAGAATACAAATCCGTTAGAAAAATACACACACCAAAAATGGCTGAAAGCAAATATATTAACATAGTAAGAGGTGCAATGTTAAGGCTGAAACAATTATAGGAGATTTCTTTCTTATCTCTGATTTCAAAAATTTCATATGAACTTTAAGTTTTAGTTATTCAATTTTTTTTTTTTCTCTCCTGAACTTTAATGCTATTAAATCCTGGGGACTGATGTTACCAGAGTGGTCTATCAAGCTGGGCCACCTCTTATGGTGCCCTGCAGGAGGCAGCAAGTACGAAATGAAAAGTCAGAAAGCACAAGTCTAAACTCCAGTGCTGCCATTGCCTGGCTGTGAGGTCTTAGTTACATAAACTCTTAGAGCTACAGATGATTCGTGTACAAAACAGATTCTAACAATCCCAGTGTCTAGATCACTGGGTAGTTTTGAGAAGGGAAAGAAACACTGCAACGAGAGCACAGCAGTGTGTGCCTAAAAGTAATGAGAATTCAACAATTGTTAGCTATGAATATTAATGATGGTATTACCAGTTAGGGCTTTAGTCCTGGGATGAAGGGGAAAGGGTCTTTGGAAATTAGTGATACGGATTTATTTATCACTTTTCTCACCCAAGGCTTGCCTAATTTCTTCACTTTTGATTTCTGGCATCCAACACCTCCTGTTCCTCATCGAAATCTATCATCTTCTGCCAGAGGATGGTCTATAAGTTATATCTTCTTCTTACTACACAAGAGAAAATAAACAAATGTCTATTGTTATTAGGTGTTTATTAACAGCATGTAAAACAAAGACTATGGCAACCCATGGGTAAGACTTTAGTGGCTTCTAGGGTGATCACAATCACTGAAAACTAATCAGAGTTGTTACTTTCAAAAGTCATTTTCTAGGGCCTCTCTGGTGGTGCAGAGGTTAAAGTCTCAGATATCATCAAGCTATTGTCAGCTGATGCAGTGTGAGTTCAATCCCTGGCCTGGGAGCTGACCCACATGGCACAGAAAGGCTCTCCAGTCTCACCAGCTGCTCCCTTCAGCAGTGTATTTTGGTCAATCCTATTATGCTCCCCACTCTGTCTCTGGTGAGTCTTTTTACCCCCTACATCCCAGTTCTTGTATGCATAAATATTATTTTAGAAAACAAGGTTTGTGCTTAAATGATTCTTCTATCAATGGTAATTTTAAAAGTAAGAGGCTTCATACACACATACATATACACACTCACACACATGCACCTCAGTCCTGGGGCCCAGTTCTTGCATGCATTTATAAAGAAAATAAATCTTTTGGCCCTCTCCGGTAGCGCAGCGGGTTAAAGCACAGCACAAAGAAGCTTAAGCCACTTCCGCATGAGTTCGATTCCCGCCTGCTCCGGAGGTGACCACATGGCGTGGCAGACCTCTCCTGGCCCGCCCGCTGCTCTCCTCGGCAGTGTACTTCATCGATCTGCCTGTTCTGTACCCCCCTTTGTCTCTGGTGAATCCTCTCACCCTCTGCATCTCTGGCCTGTACCCCAGTTCTGTAAGAATAAATAAATCTTTAAAAAAAAAAAAAGAAAAGAAATCTTTCAAATAATTTTTTTAAGAAAGTTGAAACCAATGGTTCTCTTTTATGATTATTCCTTTTGGTGTTCTATAAAAAAAACCTTTACCCATCTCTAAGATGTTCTCCTATTATTGCTTCTAGAAGGTTTTAGTATTACTTGCCATATTTAGGTCAATAATTCATAGTATGTATGGTATAAGAAAGAGGTCAAAGTTCATTTTTTCCGATATGGATGCTTAATTTTTCCAGTAAGATCACCTTTCCTCAAAGACATCTTTGTTAAAAAATGAAATGTTCATATAAGTGTAGCTCAATTTCTAGTCTATTCTGTTGACATCTAATTATCATCCCTTTTTATGCTAGTCCCACAGTCTTGTTTAAAATATAGCTGTCTGTGTCCCACCCCAGAAAGAATCTTAGGAGCCAAGGGTAAAGAAAGGTGGGTATTTTGGTGGTGGGGAGAGTGTTGTGACATATATCTGAGGAACTGAAAAAGATTCTCCTAAAGCATATACAGTGTTGTAAATCATATACAATGTGTTACCTCAATAATGAGGGGTGGGGGCGTCTAAAAAAAAGAAAAATCTTGCAGTGCAAGGTGTATAAAAGTTATAAGCTTCCTATGTATCCTTATGCAGCCCAAAGTTTGAGAAATATTATAATACTATAGTTCTCCCACCTCTAAAATTGATGCGAATCAATGAACACATTAAATTCAGATGCACATGGTAAGAGTAGTGAGCTTGGAACTAAGAAACTAGAGCTCTATTTCCAGATTTACTACTATTCAACTAGATACCATTTTATTTAGAATAACTTAGGATCTCAGTATTTTTATGTATAAAACAAGAGTTTAGGATAGACTCACTCACTCAAATATGGACCGAGTGCCCCCACTGCCTAGGAATTGCAGCTGCAAAGATGAATAAGGCATTCCTGTTCTCCACGAGAAACCAGTCTAGGCCCTCCCTGGTGGCGCAGCAGGTTGAGTGCAGTACTGAGAAGCTGGCTGCTTCAGTGCAATCATCAGCCCCAGGAGGTGATCCACATGGCCTGGCAGACCTCTCCAATTTTGCCCGCTGCTCCCCTCAGCAGTGTACTTCATTACTCTGCCTGTTCTGCTCCCCACTCTCACTACCCCTGCACCTCTGGGTCTGTATCCCAGTTCTGTATGCATAAATAAATAAATCTTTAAAAAAAAAGAAAGAAACCAGTCTAACTCAGGGCTATCCAAAAGATAGCCTTGGTACAATAGCCGTTGTCCATATGGTCGCCATTAGTCACATGTGGATATTAAGTGATTTTAAACATGACTAATCCATGCATTAACTTTTAATTTTGCATTATTTTAGGTATTTTAAATTAAATAGACACATGTTACAAATGACTACTGTATTATATAGCACAGGGAATGGTAAAAAGATGAAATTTTAAATATTGGTTCATTAAAGTCAAATTTGTGGTTTTGATATTGTGCTACAGCTATATAAGATGTCACCATCGGGGGAAAGTGGGTGAAGATTATATGGACTCTTTGGACTATGCAACTTCCTTTGATTTTATAATTATTGTGAAACAAAAGTTTTAAAGAATTAAGTAGGAAATTGGTAAGTACTACCTCCAAGATTCATTAAAAAAAAAAAAACAAACATGCAGGAACAGGCCCTCCCGGGTGGCACAGGGGGTTTGGACGCAGCACTGCAAGTGAGCCGCAACTGCTTCAGTGCGATGGCGCGGCAGATCTCTCCTGACTGGCCTTTGGCTCTCCTCAGCAGTGTACTTCGCTGATCTACCTGTTCTGCTCACCACTCTGTCTTTGGTGAATCCTCTAAGTCTAAGAAAATGCACAGGATTTTGCCAGATAGAGATGGAGGAAAAAAATAGAGAAAGACGAGTAAGTGCAAGGGCAGAGAAACCTAAAAATGTTTTGAGTCTGAAGACAGCACCAGGAATATATGAAACCTACATTCATATGTGGGAGGGAGGGGAAGCAGCAGAGGGAGAGCAGAAAGAATACTTTGGCCAGACTATTGTCAATGTATATATTTGATACTCAAGAATTGCTGATCTTGAGACAAAATCCAATGTATAGACTATTGCTGATCTGAAAAACATCCCCATAGTCTACGATAAAATGAAAAAGAAAAAAAGGACAATGAAGTAACAATTTTTTCTTGTTTATTGATGTATAACTTACAATAAGTTCATTGCTTTATGAATTTTTATATGTGAAAACATGAATGTATTCATAAATAAATATATATATCAGATCAAAATACAGATTGTGGGCATCTCAAAAGGATCTTTCAAAGTCCCTGTTCACTTAGTCTCTTGGCGAGTTTATTTTTAAAATACATATTCAAAGAAGAGTGCATGTTTCCAAAGTAGACATATAGTCAACAAATTCAGGAAAAGGAGTTCAAAATCATTGATTATCAGGGGAATTCACCGAAAAACCAGAGTAATAGTCTCAGCTTACACCTCTTAGAATGTTTACCACCACAGACAAGAAATAACAAGTGTTGACAAGGATGTGGAGAAAAGGGAACCTGCTACACTTTTGGTAAGAATGTAATTGGTCGAGTCACTATGGAAAAATAGCATGGAGGGGTCTCAAAAAATCATATGATACAGCAATGCTATTGATATTTCTGGATATTTGTGCAAAGGAAATAAAATCACTATCTTGAAGAGCTATCTCACATTCATTATAAAATTAGTCACAATAGTCAAAATATGGAAATAACCTGTGCCCACTGACAGATGAAAGGACATGTATGTATATATACATACATGCATGTATATACATACAAACACACAGATATTATTCATACTTTAAGGAAATCCTAATATTTTTGACAATATGGATAAACCTAAAGGAAAGTAAATGTCACCCTAACTACACCCTGTTTTCCAAGGAAGAGAATTAAAGTACCCTCTACCAACTATCCAATTCCACTCTCTACAATTTACCAATTACTATTACAACTGGTAGTAATTTTTTTTCTAACTGAAATAACATCGGTTTAAAACATTATGTAGATTTCAGGCTTCCCTGGTGCAGTGGATTGAAGCACAGCACTAAGAAGCTAAAGCCAACTTCAGCATGAGCTCGATCCCCACCCCAGAGGTGATCCACATGGCTCAGCAGACCTCTCCTGACCTGCCTGCTGCTCCCCTCAGCAATGTACATCAGTCAGCCTGTTCTGCTCCCAACTCTGTTTCTGGTGAATCCTCTCACTGCCCCTGCAACTCTGGCCTGCACCCAGTTCTGTATGCATAAATAAATAAAAACTTTTTTTAAAAAAGAAAGTGCCTGCATGAAATGACTGTATGGTAAATCTCTAAAAAAAAAAAACATTATAAAGGTTTCAAGTGTATAACATTGTAGTTCAACATCTGTGTAAACATCATCAGCAAAAGTCTAGTTTCCGTTCACCAGTATTGACCCTTTTTTGGTAATCAATCTGACATCATTTTTCATGATCTTTCTAGGGGGCTCACTCTCGCTTTCTCTGGAGAGTGGGAGCCCCACATTCATAAAGGGAATCACAAGTTCTCTAAGGTATAACCCTTGTTCACTGGCGCTTAGCCCACAACAGAGATACTCCCAATTTATATAAATGTTTTAGCAGCTTAGTACAAACAATGTAATTAGCTATTCTAATTGGTAGTGGTACAGCTGTTAAAAGCTTAGAAATCAGGTAAAAGCGTACCTTTTACCACTGCTATGGGTAGAAGGTTTATATTGCTCCAAA